TTAAATTAATCCACAAAGTCTCCATGACAACCATCTGTATCCAGACCAAGCCTTTTAGGTCCAACCATAAACAGATGGAGTTCAGTCAACTGAAAGTTTGAGTTTTTCAGAAGCTTGGGGGATAAAATAAAATAAAGTATCTGTAGCGTCAGGTGACTGATAGTGATAAGCAAAGCTTTTAATTTCTAAGACCTTTAGAATAACACCAGGGGGCTTTAGACAGAGAGCTGAATACGAGGAAGGTCTTTAAATATAAGTTAAAACCAACATGGATGAGCAGCAGTAAAACCACCTCCTTAGTCCTACAGCAGAGCTTTTAACTGAACTACAGAAATGAGTGAAGAAACATGCGTGAAGAATCCACGGTGCTCAGAAACGACGCGTCTAAACGCCCTCTCTGTTCTTACATGTGTGTCTCGCCAGCGAGTAGTTAGAGGAGCCTCCACTGGTGGGTCCGAAGCCTTCGGGCGCCTGTCCTCCAGCTCGGGCTCGGCCTGAACCTTTAGGCGGTTCGATTTCAGCGCCGAATTCGGCTCCAATGACTCCCAGCAGGACGATGGCGGTGGCCTGCTTCCGACGCTCCTCATAGGAGTTGGAGATCTTCTTGGCATTCGGGGGAAGGTTGGACAGACAGCCTGGAAGACAAACAGAAAATGGTTTTTAAAAAACACAATGTTTAAGGCAGTACTTCACTTGGATAACTGGACAACTGAGCGTGAACTTGATGACCCTAAAACTCCAGATGGTTCCCTTCGGCCAATGAGAGCTTCATGCAGATTCATTTATATAGCACATTTTTTATAGGAAGAATAAAGCAGTTCATTTACTGTATTCATATCCTATAATTGTGGTGGAATAAAATATGAAACTTGTGGATCATTTATATTCAACTCCTTTTAATTTAGTTTATTTCTAAAGTTCGCAGCATGTTAAGGTTCCTTACAGAGACAATCCCATCATCCAAACTGACTGGTTAAGAAGTTTCTATCCGAGGAAAAGCAGCCGATTACATCCCGTTATTGACTTAAGAACAGAAGCAGACACACAAAAGGAAAGATAGAAGCATTGATCCATGAATGTGTCAGAGAAGCTAACTGTAAACTCTATACGACAGACACAGTTTAAACAAGCTCTGAGCCAGTTCTCATGTCAAAAGGACTTAAGATTCACAGTAAAAGTTAGAGAAACAGCAATAAACACTGAAAAACAGGCCCAACTGTATAATCTGTGGTGGAAATAGTTGAGAA